AATGGCAAGCAAACCCTCAAGTGTGCACTCGCACACCTGGAATGTCGAGAGTGAGTGGAGATGGGATTGAAAAGAGTTGGAGAGAGAGAGAAAAAAAAAAAAGAAATCCATTTGGTTTCATGCATCCCTCACAAGAAGCTTTACAGACTGTGACCTTCTACTGCTTTGGTAATGAGAAGGAAACGGCAAGACCCCGGCGCCATAAAACGGCTCTGAGCGGGTGCTAACAGTGATTCTGCAATTAACCTGTCTTAAAACAAACAAGAGGCTTTCGCTTTAACAACAGGGACGTACTTGAGAGGGTTGATTTTTTTTTTTTTTTTTTTTTTTGCAGCATGGAAGTCAAAGGCCCACCAGGGTTCGGGTTTTAATCGGTCATTAGTGTTCTCGTTTCGGCACAGCTGCGCCATCTACTATGCAGCGAGACACACACATCCACACACACGAACATGATCAGAAACATAAGTCAAAGCTCTTATAAAGCTACAGAATGAACCACCAATGGAAGTCTCAAAAGCCCTCCAAGTCTCTCCACTTCCACCAACAAAGAATATTTGTCTTAACACTACTCATTAAGTGTGAAAAGCATGTAAGTGAAAACAGAAAGCAAAAAAAAAAAAGAAAAAAGAAAATTGCACATCCTCCTTTAAGTTCAGGCACATAGTTTGAACACAAAAGCGCCAGTCTTTCTCCTTAACTGTCCTCTTTTCTCTAAGTGGAACCAGACGTCGGCAGTTCTTCATTTAGCCCATTCGAATTGGAGGCGAGTTGCTGTTCTTTATTTATTTAACAAAACGAGCTGTAAAAAGCCAAACATTAGGTCATGGAATATTTTCAAAACCCAGAAGAAATAAGTCAATGCCTTCAATGAGACATCAAACCCAGTTTAAGTATTCCCCTACAAAATATGAGCTAGTGAGGATCTTTTTTTCCAAGTAGTGCTGTGGGACTTTTTCTGGTTTTTAAATACAACTTTCAACAGTGTGGGGCACATGCGTTTCCAATTAAGAGCTCATGCAAGCCTGGGCCCCCATTCACCCCCGTCCACGATTGACCAAGTCTGAGGAAATGTTAAACAGGCATCAGAACCATAACAAGAGCCTGCAGATTTTTCAAAAGCCCCTGACTTTCTAAACAATGATTAAGACATCACGGCGAATTGATGATATAAGCTGCAAATGTCGCATAAAAATCTAAATAAAAGGTGGGGGGGGGAGGGAGGGGAAACATACTTAATCATAACTTTTTTGTGAAGCGTTCACAGCTTGGGCACTTAACCGTAGCAATTTGTCCCTTTGGTGAGCGGGTACCAAGCCTGCTTACAGTGCAAAGAAATAAAACATGTCAATGCTGTTGATTTGTGAGGATCATAATGAGAATGCACGGTTTACACGAGGCACTCAGAGTTGGATCTACTTCCCTGGAAGCGGCAATAACTCCCTATGAGCCTGTCTCTGCTCAGACTTCAATCTCGGGGCCCTAAGGAGCTGTTGGAGGACTTTGATGTTCTGTCTAAATGAATTGACTGTGCTTCTTGATACAGCCCTCCAGTCAACCGGCTCCCCCCCCTCACCACCGATTCTGTCACCTGTGATAAACACCATGCACGCTCGCCAGTCACCAAAATTCTGCATCACATGCTCAGAAAGGCCAGTATTTTTTTTTTCTCTCTCTCTCTCTCTCACTCTCTCCTTTCAACTTCATAAATGGCTGAAAAAAAATATGATTGTTGTTTCCCGCCGTGCCCCTATCTGAGCAGGGAGCCCTTTGAAGTGCGAGGCTGTATGTGAGCAAGCAACGCTGGGGCTGCTTTTTGTTACCTTACAGACCTGCTACATCCAGTAGGTGAGCCTTTATGTCGGATTGCACTTCAGGGCACGATGTTTGTTAGAGCCTGGGCAAAGGCAACAACCTCCAACCCACTTCTATCATTGCATTTCTTTTTCTTCTTCTTCTGTTTTTTTTTTTTTTTTTTTTTTTAAGGAATCAGAGGCAGACAGCCCGCAACTTCACCGACATGATTCCAGACGAGATGCTAAGGCTTATTGAGGAGCACTGGTGCACAGCTAAGGAGGTACAAAATGTGTTGATACATCTAGTTTGTGACTTCTAGTTTGTCACAAAGTGTGCGCAGAATGTGGATAAGTCGTGACAGGAGATACAATGTTTGAAAAAAAAAAAAAGGATGCTCTAGTGCTAAAGATAGCACTAAGTGTAACTAATCAGGAATTGAAATACACTGCAGTGGTTGATTTCAATCAAAGATCCGGGTGGAGACAGTGGTTAGAGGAAAACAATACTTATCCATCTAAGCTTCAGCTTGGTCAATTCTCATTTGACTAAATCCGATTACCATTGATTCTGCATCTCCGTAAAGCCGAGGTTTTAGGTTTTCCTTGATAGTGCAGAAATCTTAACAGGGATGAAGCGGCAGTATTTAACCTATTACAGCCTCCGCTGAAGCGCTCGGGTTTTGCAGGAAAGCACAGGTTCTACTGGCGAAAGGCATTGATCCTCCCACACCCTGGGTTTTCCCAGCGTGTGCAGCGATTCCCGAGCAAAGCCTCTGAACACCCTCTCTCTCTCTCTCTCGCTCTCCCTCTCTTCCAGCAGCGAAAGGTGCTCCAGTGCAAACCTGCCCCGGATCGAGCATCTCATTTAGCCACCGGACCCTTTGATGTGGATTCAGTGCTGCAGTGCATATCATTCGTGTTTGAAGGTTCAGTTTCCACAATACAGCGGGGTTTGAAGTTTCACATATTGCAAGTGCAACAATGTGATAATCTGGCAGCCAGTTATGCATTATACATTTTTCATAAAAGAACACCATCACCTGAAAGTGAAAATGTGGGAAAGTCAGCGCTTCAAGGTATATATTGACAGAAACTGTTTCTGAGACTTCTGGGTGTGGGACGAAAACACTCTTGTTATCTCGAGCGCCTCAGAATCAGCTCTACATCTTACCTTGGAAGGGGGTAAATATCCAAATAAACAGAGTAGAATAACATTTGACTGGTGTCTGCCACGCCATTATAAGAGAGAATTATTTAGTCGACTGAATGTTTCTCGCAAGGTGAAGAGGCATTGACAGCAATGCAGCAAACATCTCCGACACCTGATTTCTCAAGAGAGATGATCCCCAGCGTTGAGTACTTGAAGAATCCTTGTTAAGGTCTTTGTGTCCCCATAAAGGGGTATGTACTTACCTTTATCCTACAGTCTATTCAACGGCCAGTAGGGGGAGACTACACTCCCAAAGTGGTGAGATTCTATGAAATCGGAAAATGTGCCTACTTCTCCCCTGAATCTATGAACTCAGGAAACATTTTCCTAACAAGTTGGTACTCATGGATAGTTTCAAATCTTCTCTAAACAGTATGATGTTTACATTTTAGATTGTTATCTCAATTAGAGTAGCTACAAATCAAGGAATGCTGAGAAGGCGTGGCTACTTCTGATTGACAAGTTGCTACCAAGGCAACCTGTTAACCAGGGTAAGGTATGTACAAGTCTTCCGAGATATGAGAAAGATATGGGATGTGGGATAACATTGCTGAACATTTGGTAACCATACGTAGTGTGAAACTAATACTGTAAAAGTGTTTGCAGAATAGCCAAAGATAAATCCCGTGTGTCACCATTTAAAGAGTGGTTAGCTAATAGCTAGCTTTAGCAACATCTAACTGTATTAAAATGGCCGTTATACCCAGACCTCAAACAGAAAGTAGACAGGCATACTGATTGAGAAAGCTTGCTTGTTCACATACAAAAAAAAATCGTATTTTCTTTAATTAATTCAGAACTTTGCAGTAACGATGAACTTGTGATAAATTGCACAGCTCTAATATGCATCCACCTTGTTGTCCAAATATGGTCAAATCGTTGTTGTTTTTTTAAACATGCAACCAAATGCAGACTCCGGGCCTCAATGGGCGAGTTGAAATACAACAAAGAAGTCTTGCCTATTGCAATTTTCATGTTTGTAATCGACAAAGTGGCGACCATTTCTTAAACTCCAACTACATCGAGCACACAAAAGTTAAAAAGGAGAGAGTTGATGCCCAGATAATGAAAAATCAAGTTGGCAGATAATTTCTGTAAGTGACTGAGGCTTTCACGAACACTTCTGATCTTGATAATTAAAGCGTGTTTGTGTGGAGGTGCACAGCTCCTCATCTCTTTTTTTTTTTTTTTTTAAAAGGATGCTTACTGTCTCAAAGCACAGAGATGCTGGCAAGCCTGGGGGCCTGCTTGCTTTCGTTTCTCATCTCTCTGTCTCGATCTTGTGCTAAATACACACAAACACGCATTAAAAAAGGAACACACACGCACACACACAAATACGTTATTCCACAGACACACACACACACACACACAACAACAAACAAAAACCCACACACAAGAAAAAGAGTCGACGCTTCCACAAACATCAGCCTCTCAATTAGCTTCTGCACTCGTTTCTCCTTGGAAGAGAATTATTTTTCAGCTGGATGCTTCTTCTTTGTTTATTGTGAGCAGACCAAAGCCTTATCAGCAGCTAATCACTGCATGTCAAATTCACAGACGTACTGCAGTCACTTAAAAAAAAAAAAAAAAAAAAAAACATTCACTGAATAATCTTCTCTAGTTCAGATTGCTGTTTTAGATTTGGACAATCACCAATTTCTTTTTCGACGCTAAAATCTGTCTGACAGCCAGGCAGAAGATCAGCATTTGTTGGATATAATTTGTTGTGACATGTTAATTGCATCTACTTGTAATTCTCTCTAATTGATGTTTGATATGTCTCAGGAAATTAGGCCAACTAGATAACACTGCAAGTATTATGGAGCCTCCCCGCCTTTCTCTTTCTGTGGCAGGTCTGATGAATTCTCAACACCTAAAAGTGTAATGTGTCAACATGCTGTGCAGCTATCCTCTGTATTCCCAGGGCTGCCAGGCTGACAAATCTAAGGTTACAAGCATACCACTGTATATTCAAAACACATATTCTGGCACACTGCGGAGGGACAGAGAAGACTAACCTGAGCGATTTTCACGGAGTTCTGGGTCGAGCCACCGGCATGGTACTCAACTTTGTTCCTCTTCACAATTTCTGCGAACCTGGAATAAAAAAAGAGAAAGACACAAGTTGAAGAAAAAGATTAAACAGAAAGGGAATTAGACCAGACCTGCTCATACAGGCTGAACACTTGATACAAGTTACTATCACATAAGGAGTTTTGTCATCATTTGACACATTACAAAATGTATATGAGGACTGAGAAGAACTGTATTTCAAAACAAATTGGTCAATACTATATGAATCACTAGTGCTTATAGTTGGACAATTAAGAGCTAGCAGCTATAAATATGAAAAGTTCTATTTTGAAGCTATTGCATGGACTGTGTACAAATTTGTGATTATCTAGCGCTTTTCTGGTCTTCAACCACTCAGATTACATTATATGTCACATTCACCTATTCATACAGTGATGGCAGAGGCTGCTACGCTAAGTGCCAAACTCCCCCATCAGAACTAATCCAAATCACACACGTTCACAACGCTGCTGGCTATGCCACCCGGAGCAATTTTTCAGTTCAGCGGAACCAAGGACACTTTGACATGCTGTCACCAACTGGCTCAAAGTAAGCGACAAAGGAAGGGTATCACACATGAAACAAGGTTTAAGGAAAGTGTATTTATTATCAAACTAAAGTTAAAACAATCATAGTTATGTAAATACGTCAAATCAGTCATGAATGCAATGTGTGGATGAGGGTAGGGTTGTAAAGTGCAAACAAAAGAAATGCAGTTGGTGGAGAACTGGGAGAAAGAGAGGTGAGACGAGTTAGAGTGGAAGCCACTTATAAGCAGAATCCTGACGGACTCAGGTGTACCCAGTTGGACTAATCACCTTCCTGACTCCGCCTACTGTCTGCCAAGCCAGGAAGCCAAACAAACGCAGACAGAGGGCAGGACGTCACAATGCCACCCGCCTGCAGGAGCTGGAGGATCAGATCGCCAACCTTTTTTTTTCCCCGATTGAAAAATGACCAACTCTGCCACTGAGCCTCAGCTGCCCTAAACATTATCTGGTTTCCAGACAAAATGGTCCCACTGGTTTGCCATCAATATCTCACATTCACCACAAGATCAGCAAAAGGATACAACAAATGAATTCCAGTGAGATGGCGTTGTGATACGTCTCAGACTAACAAAGCAGGCGGACCCGCTCATGTTAGCATCACAACATTAACATGCTAGACATTTGAAAATATTAAACACTTCAAAGTTTTCTTATATTTGTATGAATGTATGGGCATGCTGTTAGCATATTAGCCACACTGTTAACACGTTGATAAGTTGAGCACTACAGCAGACATATACAATTATGCTAGTATGCTAAACACTCCAACATGTAAGTGTAACAGTTTATTTATTGCTTTAGCCATCTATTTAACAATGTATTGGTCATTTCTAGCGAACAAATTTAACCCTCTGTCCATAGAGACTAGCTAACAAATTCAACAATTCATTTGAAGTCTTTCATTCTGTTACTCAAACTAACACTTTATATACGACTAGCTAACTTCACTCATTCACTCACAATCAAGAACTCCAAACCAAATGTTGGAATTCTCCGGGTTAAATCATAAAAATAATGTTTTCCTTTCCATCCTTCTACTTCGGCCGTTCTGTGTGCAAGCTGTGAACTACTTGAAAAGAAAAAAGGCAGGGCGGGGGGAAAAAAAAAAGCAGCAAGCAAATGCTGTATTTTATTAAATGGGATACTTGACCACAAATGTTACTGGAGTTGAAAAGGGGTCTAAATGTCAGCTTGATAAAAGCAAAAGAGGAACATTGTCCACATGTGGTTGCAGTTAGCCGTGCAGTATTAAATCAAGATGAGCAAAGAAAAAGAACATTTCTAAAAAGGAACTAAAAACGTTTGATCTGTAAATGAGAGGAACGATTGATCTTTTTACTTTGCAGAGATAGCTAGATTCTATCGATGATGTTTTCCGAGCAATTAGAAGAACACGTTTTAAATGTACTTGTTGAGGAAACGTCATAAACGGGTGAGCCGTTAAGATGGAGACCATATCTGATAAAACGGTTGATGTATTAAACATACAGAAAACTGTGGAATTGACTGCAAGAGACTGAACACAATGAGTAAAGAAAACAGACATGACATTGGGGAATGGGGAGTAAACAATTGCCGCGTTTCAAACATAAACCTCCGGAAAACACCCTTGGGGTCTAGAGTAGTTTACTACTGAAGGCAGTTCTGTCATTTTTGCATTTTTCCCCATCATGCTGCCATTTCAAACATCAATAGCTTTAATGCTTAGGCGTAACATGATGCAAAGCTGGGCTACGCTGCCAGATAGAGTCTTTATCTGGGGAGCTGAGAACATGAATAATGTGTATTCTCCACATCGTTCACACAAACAGCCTCCCAGGGGACCGGCTATATAAACGTGTCCACCCTGCTAAGGAAATTGACCTAGCAGCAGTCAAGTTGATACGCCACATTAGGAGGTCCTTGGCTTTTTTTTTTTTTTTTTTTCTTTTTTCTTCTCAACCCTAAATTGAAGACTGCCCATTTGTAAGCGTATTTACATCAGGCAAAGAAATCCAATGATATGGTAAATAGTTCAAGGTGCATCATACCATTCCCACTGGTGTTGCATGCAATTCCACCTTAAATTGACTGGAATGTTGGGTTGCTGAGAGAAAGCTTGAGTGTCGTTCCAAGGGATGCTTCTGGTTATACAAAGGCTCTTCTAAAAAAAAAAGGGTCACTTCATTCCTTTTTAAGGGGTAAACACATTTTCGGGGGGGGGTGGGGGTTTAAAGGTTGCTGACTTTGGTTGAGCAATCTCGAGATATAAAAGTTGAACTGGAAATATGTCCTCTCTATTGCATATACTCGCTGCAGACAGCGAGTAATATGTATGCAAAGTGCATCCTGGCTTACCAACATGTGTGAGCCAGAGGTGTTCAATACTTCAGCACAACCTGGTTTAACTAGGCATGGCCGAATTTTGAGCGAGTGTGAAAGTAACCTTTACTGCTTCAAAGAAAGTCTGCATATCATGTCTCAAGGCGAGGGGGTCTACCCAGGGCAGAATGTTCCTAATAAAGGAAAAAAAAAAAAAACTTTCCATGCAAGTGGAAAATATGCTAACCGAGGGGAAAAAAATCCTTCCTGAGACACCTGTTATGACTCCTTGACAAAGGAAGAATTTGAGCACTGTGGGTGTTTATAACATGAAGGCAGCAGAGGGACTCCAGAACCTATTTCAAATAGACACACAGCTTCAGAGGATTTCAGCCTGTTTTCTTTTTCTTTTTTTTCCTAGAAGTATTTGCTCCACCTTTCAGGGCAGACAGCATGGGGCCCTGCTCTTGGATGCCTCGAAAATCCCATCCGAAAAGGAGCAGCTGCCTCGAGACCTTTACACCCTCAAACATCATGTGATCCCATAGTAGTGACACCGTAAACGGCCCCCTTGGCCATTTAGGAAGAGAAAATCCCATTCCATCTACTGCGGTCTGAGCTCACTCTGTGATGGGAGGGAGCAGAGAAAAATAAATTGTTTTGAACAAAATGTCCTCAGCCAGTAACCTCGGCTTTTAAAAACCTGCTGGTGTTGTTCAACGGAGCAGCAATTCCAACTATGCCATGAATTCCACGAACGTATAGACAGGCTGTGTTATATAACACTTGCTTTACAAGAGACTGCCCCTGACACTCTGCTTAAATACCACTCTTAACTGAAGGCAGGGTGTTATTTTTCAATTTCATACCTTCCAATTTGAGACTAATTGGGGCTGTTATTTTTTCAGCTTATATCAAATTAGTGGAATTAGGCTACTGAATAGAATATTTGTATTCAGAGGATGTGAGAGTCCTCCTTAAAAAAAAAAAAAAAAAAAAAGGTCTAATACCTCCACATCTCCCAGGCTTAGAACGTTCAAAATGTGGGGGCAGATCACACAAGTCGGGAATGTCGTGTTGTTTACATTCCTGAGGATGGAGCCCCCACCGTTGTTTCCCATCAAGGGAAATATGAGCGCTTCCAAAGAACTACGAGTGTTCTCTTTCCCCCGAGTGACTCATGAGTTCCTCCAAAAAAAAAAAAAGACAAGTAGATTATTTACATGAGGCAATAATTCAAGATTTGCTCCTTTAAGTCTCTTACATGGAGGCCAAGGGGAGCCCATTTAACCAATCCCTCTTCATTCGCCTTTGATGTTAGCCTATCTCGATAAGACCGGATGAGTGCCCTAAAATCCCCGTCGAGTGATTTCACAGGAAGAACAAGTCTCTGTTAATCAATGGCTAGATTGGATCTGGATCCTCGGGAGTGGTCGGCGTGAGAGTCCTCCCGAGTGTTTGAGAGCACACCGGGGTAATTCACCGCTAATGATCGCCGCGGCACCCGCTCTCCTCCGTTGTTCCTTATTTAATTGCCTCGTTCACGTTTAAACAGCTTACAAATCACGAGGACAGGCAGGGAAACATGATCAAACAGCGCACATCGCTAATCAGGGGAGGGCACGGGAAGGAGTGCGAGGACTTGGGGGCTTCTTTGCGGTTCTCCTTTGGGGATTAGGAAGGAGGAGGGTTGTAGAGGAACAGTAAATTATCTCTGCTTCAGCTAGAGCAGGCAGGTACATTTAAACAGGCAGATCCATCTTTCTCTCTCTGACAGAAGCCGCTAAAAGGCTTCAGTAATCCCAATTTCAACACAGGCATCTGGAGCGGAGACAGGTTCCACCATTGATTAGATTCCCCAATCAGCGTGTGCATCCTACGAGCGGCCTTCCTTGGTAGTCTGGAGGCAGTACAAGGCCTGATGCACAGTAATTGTTTCCATAGGTCATGCGGAGGGAAAAACAGCTCGGGGGAGGTGATGAAAGGGAGATGGAAAAGGGTGAGGAATATTGTTGTTTTTCCCCTCCCCAATTAAATTGTTTGTCAAACCCTTCACAAAGGGTTACGCAGTTTATCTGTTTAAAATCAATACGCCCGTCTCAGTGTGAAAGCTTGTCCCGACACAAGACAGGCCCATTAATTATTCTGTTCTGCGCGCTATCGCTGGGGCTG